AAAAAAAAAAAAAAAAAAAAAAAAAAAAATATGGATTTCTTTTTCAAAATTAATAATTTATTTATTGATTAGTGTTATATTTTCATCGCATTTCAATTTCTTTCGTCATCATGAGTACGTTAAAAATTCGAATAATTCTGGAATAAATATGTAGTGGCAGCAACGCAACGCGAGCGGCAGCGCCACGCAACATCAACGACGTTTACGGAGCTAACGCTACAAACCAACGCACCGCCTGCGCATGTTATTGGTTTGCTCACTTCCTTTCTTGAAACGTGATGTTCCGTTTCGACTAGAAAAATGAACCTCCCGGTCGTCCGAAGACTGTGGTCGACAATGATGGGTTAAAGGCGATTGAGGAAGCTAGAACATAATCTACGGCTGAATTAGCAGCAGCTTTCGACGTCAGCGTCAAAACAATATTGGTCCATTTGTGTCAAATTGGCAAGGTAAAAAAGCTTGACAAATGGGTGCCCTACGAACTCAATGATCGCCAGCGCAAAGTACGCGTCGAGACGCGTCTAGCACTGCTCTACAGACACACAGATGAATGAATTTTAAACTGCATTGTTAACTAGATAGTGATGGTCCGTTTGGTAATCTAGCGCCGGTGTGATTCATCACAGCATCTAACCAAACGGGGTGAGCATTACTGCAGATGTGTACTGTGGAGAACTGAACACAATGATGGAGAAGCTGGCACATTTCCAACCAGTATTGGTCAATCGCTCGTCCCCGCTGCTGCTGCACGACGACGCGCCACCTAATACTTTCAGCAGATACTGCATAGCAGCAAGTTGCAAGAACTGGAGTTGAAAGTTGAAAGCTCTCCGTCATCCGCCCTAATCAACAGACCTTGCGCCTACACACAACTACTTTTTGCAGAATTTGGATAACTTCTTGGCGGAAAACAATCAATACCGAGAGGCAGTACAAAATGCGTTTGAAGAATCTGTTGCCTCCCGTCCAGCTGGTTTCTTTAAGAAGGGCATCAATAATTTGCCACGGCGTTGGCAAAGATGCATTAGATGTTAAATTTTTTTCATACAGAACGACAATTTCATAGTTAGAGACCTATTATTTATTCTATCGGTATTTATGTGTGTAGTACACGAGTTTTTATTCTTTTTTTTTAATTGTGTTCTCGTTTTGCATTAACCGCTTTATTTCTCTGCACTTCCCTATGGTTGACGATCAGAGAATGCCTTAAGCCAATAAATTCCGCCATTCAGTGTAATCTTTTGTGAAGAAATACATAAATAAATAAATCCTCCTAAAATTAGTTCCCGCTATCAAGAAAATTATTACACAGGCATTTTTGTCTGTCGACGCCAGGATATGCCGATATTCTTTAGAAAATAAATCATAATTACATAATACGTTATATATCCAAGAAGTAAAAAAATGTACATAATAAAACTGATTCAAAAGAAACAAGACCCGTCATTTCAGACGAGTCACAGTCAGAGCCCAAACGTTGTGCCCAAATGTTAAAATATTGATAATTAGAGGCCTAATACACTGTATAATGTAATGTTGTACAGTACCAGTGTCGTTTAGAGTAGAGAGGTCAGTGGACGGCGTGAGGTCGTGGGCTCGCGGCAGCGGGGCGGTGCCGACGAGAGCCGCGCAGACGGCGCCGCGCTTGGCGCCTGACGCTGCCGCGCCGCCGCCCATCGAGCGCCAGCGTGGTGGCATTAAGCTTGCGCGTACATTACGCTCCGGGTGCACGATTATTATATATAACTGAAATAATTTTATATTCATTTCATTGGTTTTTAAAAAGTTTAGAAATGTTTAAACGCTTCAAACCTTAGGACTAAACAAGCAGACGAGCGTGACACTGGCGCTGAGTGAGATGGTGACCGCCATGCTGGTGACCCGCAGCGGGACATGGCTCGCCGTGCCGAAGTATAGAGGTACAAACGCCAACCAGATCACACACGTCGTGTACATTGTGAACCCTGAAACAAATGAGAAGCATAATATATAGACTAACCCTGTTTATCAGCAAGTGACTGCACACACCAAATCAGAATCGCACCGATGTGTTTGCTCTCGTTGAAGGCCTCGGGGATCTTGCGGGTGAGCACAGCGTACACTGTGCAGACGACGATGAGCACGACAGGGTAGAAGAATGCGATGGTGTAGGAGGCGTCCACGTACGAGTCACAGACGAGCATGTTGTCTTCTCGCGACGGGTAGTGGTGGATAGCGCGCGCCGGAGAGATGATTTGCCACACTACCACGATCACCACCTGCGCGTATCATCACCGGGTCAAAGTTAAATATATTTACCGGATATAATAATGAATGAATGTCATCACGTCCTATTGACTGAATTATGTACTTAACAAAGGCATTTTTAATGTAGTCTACCCAAATTACCATAACCGCTTTACTATCTTATTGGCCGAGAGGTTAAGATGATTTGGGTAGACTTACATAATGGAATATTTTACAATAGTGATTTACCTGAATAGATACAAGTACGGAGCATATAAAAAGTTGTGATTTCGGTGATATCAAGGAGGGTCTGCGCGCCGAGTGTTTGCTAGCATCAAAGATTCGTGCGATCCTGTTTGTTTTAGTTAGTAAAGCGGCGTACACGACGGTGAAACAGAATCCGGTCCCGAACCTGTCACAGACGAGCAGCTAAGACTTTGATTACCAGTATACTATACCAAGCGAAGATATTTGAACCACCGTACCGTTGCAACGAACACAACACATCCGTGGGCCTGAAGACGAGTGCGAAGGTGACGAGGTAGCACATCATGATGCCCGCCAGCAACACGAAGGACAGCTCGCGGCCGCTGGCGCGCACCACCGGCGTGTCGCCGCGCACTCCCCACACCACCACCACGAACCTGCAACACGCGCCGCGCTCAGTGCTCCAGCACGCCCCGCTCGCACTCTACCCTGCCCGGCGGCGCAGGGCACTCACGTCGTCAGCAGCATGCCCAGCGACGAGAAGGCCATGGCTCCTATGGCTGCGGGCGAATCGGGGCGCAGGTACAGCTCCGGCACGGCCGCGCAGTGCGTGCGCGTGGCACCCGGCAGAGTGCCCAGCGGACATTCCTCGCACGCCGTCTCTTTGTCCGGGGACCGGATCTGTTGAGTTCGAAGGTACAGTAACAATGCCCCGGTGCATGAGCCACTACTCGTCGACAGCGCGCACCTCGTACTGCGTGCAGTTGAAGCAGTGCCAGCAGCAGCTCTCGCCCTCGACGTACTGCTTGGCCTGGCCCAGCTCGCACTCCGCGCTGCACACCGACTCCGGCGGGTGCCGCTCGCTCCATTTGAATTGAATGTCTACACATACTTGTATTATAATTATAAAGCTGGTTTATTAATGTTGATAGAAGCATCACTACACCGTACCGTTCATATTCAACTGGAGTTCGCCGTCGAGGTAACGGCCCACCGTCAGCCAGCGATACACGCCGGGCGACACTTGCTTAAAGTGAAGTATATTGTACCGCGCCGGGCCATCTCCATTGTTATCGAAATGAAATTGATCTCCGCTGAGACCTGTGCGTAACATATAACAACATACTTAATTTTAAACTTCACGTTCTCTTTATTCGATCTTAGACGTACTTGTCACTGTCTTGTTGTTCTAATGGAAAATAGTCTCAATATGTCACATATTTTTATCGGAAATGAACAAATGTTGACTACTACATCATTATACTTTATAACAGTTCCAGTGCTCCGAGATAGACTGATATGTTAATGGCCAAACCCGACTTCAGGGTAAACTATCCAAGAAGCAGAACGTAAAATCACTCGCCACGGCAGACACGTAAGTCAGAATGGTCAGCTGGTGAAGTATGCTATTTGTTTGGTAACTTATTTATTTATTATTTATTTATGTACACACATACAACATAAAGGACAACACATACATAAAATTAAAGTACAAAGGTACCACCTATTCCTATTGGAATTTCTTCCTGTGGACCTGGAGCAGGAAAAGTAATAATAATATAGTGACACAGTGTGTAGCAACAAATAGAAAATTGGGATAGGAAACAGACTTAAAGCTAAACAGATAAATAACCTAACAACTACATACAATATATAAATAAATACATACAAATTATAAATTATACATTATCATACATTATAAATCATACATTATAAATGAAGAAAATTTAAATATCAGGAGGAAAGGTAGTGTTCTCTCACTTGTTTTTTAAAGATAGCGATAGACTCAGCATCCCGAATGTTAGGTGGGAGCGCATTCCACAGTCTCACTGCATGAACGGAAAAGGAGTAGGAATAGAAATCGGTATTATGGGGTTCGATTTTAAGATTAGATTTAAGGTGTGAACGAGATAGGACTTCAGGAGGACGAACCAAGGAGAAACGGTCCCGAAGGTAAGCAGGATAGTCAGGGTTGAAGAGGATGTTATATAGGAAGCATAAAATGCGAGTGTTCCTGCGAAGACGGATCGGAAGCCACTTGAGCCTATTGCGGAATACGGAAACATGGTCGTACTTTCTTAACTCGTCGAGTACCGTCATTGTAGACACAATTATAGAACAATAGGTTGCGGTCACCGGTGACCGCTTGGTGTTTGACAGTTTAAACCAAAGACAAAGCGGATACAAACATTTTGCAATCGCTCAAGTTTATTTGAAAGCTCCTCTGTAGCATCCAAATAGCAGGCATCCGCGTAGTCAAACAGAGGCAGGATTAGCGCTTGGACGAGGTGAATCTTAGTCTTCACAGGCAACAGGGTCTGGAGGCGCCTCAGGGAACGAATGGAGAAATAAACCTTCCGACTAACCTCGTTCGCCTGGACAGTCCAGGACAACTTTGAGTCGATATGCACTCCCAAGTTCTTTGCAGAATCAGTGAATGGAATCACAGTGCCATCCAGATGCAATGGAACAAGACAAGAGAAGACAAGTCACGATTCATGGCATCGAAAGCAGAATGAGCCTCAGATATGTTGAACTGACGGTATAACTGCAAGTCGTCTGCATAGAGATCGAAATTAGAAGAGATCACCCTGGCAACGGTGTTAATGAAGACGGAGAAAAGGACAGGAGAAAGGACGCCACCCTGGGGAACGCCAGCCGCAAGGTCACACCAATCGGAAAAGGTTTCCTCTAGGCGGACCCGCTGATGGCAACCCTGAAGATAGGATTCAAACCAGGCCAGAGAGGAAGGTGAAAAATTATTGGCCTTCAGGACCCCCAACAGAATGTCAAAGTCCACAGAGTTGAAGGCCGAGCTGAAGTCCAGCAACACAAGAATAGTGAGTAATTTATTGTCCATAGCCAAGCGAATGTCATCAGTCACCTTGAGTAGAGCTGTAACAGTGCTGTGGCCAGGGCGAAATCCAGATTGAAAAGGCGAGATGAGGCTGTTAGATGATAAGAACGAAGATAATTGCTTGTGAACAATATGTTCCATAACCTTGGAGAGGAAAGGCAGGATGGATATAGGTCGATAATGAGAAAGAGAAGAAGGGTTATTAATTTTGGGTAAAGGGATGACGTGGGCATTTTTCCAAGCCGAAGGAAAAGAGCAGGAGAATAAAGAGAAATTGAAAATGTGAGTAAGGATAGGAAGAAGGAGATTAAGAATGGGGATGAACATGCGGGAACATAAATTATCACTACCCACTGCAGAGGAGTTGATGGAAAGCATAGATTTTTTTACATCGTCCTCAGACACATTCATTGAAGCCTAAAATTTTTGTATTTGACATTTTTAACTTAATAACTCTGGATTTCAATTTGAGAATTTAATTTATTAATTATTTCAATTTCTCCGCTTTTTAATTATTGATATTCAACAACATTGTAGTTTATTTTTATTTTGTTTTGAATTGGAGTCATTATTGATTATTGGAAATTGTAACTTAGTTTGTCTTGTTTTGATTTGGAATCATTGGCAAGGGTTGTGTTTAGATTGTTTGTTCTAACTTAGAATCATTTTTGAAAATTGTGATTTAGTTTTATTGAAGTATTTGCATGCCAAATTTATAGGCGAGATATGATGAACTAATGTTATGTCATAAAATCTGTAAACCACCATATTTCAGGCAAATAAATGAATCTATCTATCTATCACACTGCAGAGATTAAAAGGAGAACAAGTGGGAAGTGGTAGAGAGGAAAGGTTGAGTAGAGTGCTAGATTTAGTTGAGCTGTCTAGTGTAACAGGGGAGAGGGAGAAGTGGTGATTTAAGGAGATAAGGTCAACATCCTTGCTGACAATGACAGGGGACTTGCCGATACCCACGGACCGCAGAAACTTCCAAGCATCGGCAAAATTGTGGTTAGCCAGATTATCATCAAAGTACCGCCTCTTAGCCTCCCTGCACAGACGACTGCAGCGGTTACGTAGATTCTTATAGGAAACAAGATTTTCGTCAGTAGTCCTACGCTTCCACCTCTGTCTGGCCCTGTCCCTCCGAGCCATCGCATCCGTAATGGCAGACGTAATCCAAGGTGCCGGATCGTGCCTAACCCTCACGCGACGCAACGGCGCGTGTCTATTAAACAAGTCGACAATTATCGCATTGTAAAGATTAACCTTCACATTAACATCGTCAGCATCAACCACAAAACTCCAGTTAATCAGGTGGACATCATGCTGTAACGCCTCCAGATCCAGCCGCCCGTAACTACGCCGATTCAAATAACGAGGTTTAGGTTTAGGAGTACGGATGCTGTAGGACATATAAATAAGGTCATGGTAGGAAAAAGGAGCAGTGAGTTGACCATGACAATCCACATGTCCAGGGGACGAAACAATCATAAGGTCGAGCAAAGAAGGTGATGAGTTGGGGGGATAGTGAGTGGCCGAAAGGGAAAGCAGGTGAAGATCAAAAGTTGACAAGAGTGATTCGAGTTTAAGAGCACGAGAATCCTGCTTATGAAGGCAAGTATTAAAGTCGCCCATAATTATAATATGATCATAATTAGTGCATAAGTTGTTGAGTTGCTTGTCGAGACTATCAAAATAATTGATATGTACGTTAGGACTGTATAAGACAGCCACTAAGATTTTGATGAAATTTATTGATATCTCGACAAACAAAAACTCTGCTGACTCCGAATAAAGAGGAGGAGACGCACTGACCACACGATAAATAAATAAATAATAAATAAATAAAATGTTTATTTGGTGTAAAAAGCCAGATTACAAAATAAATCTTAATATCTAAACAAAGTCTAAAAATATGTGAAACCTGATGACATATTTTTAGACTTTGAGATGACGATGAGATAAGTCAGACCGAATATACATGGAAACCCCACCCACGCCCCTACCCGTTCTGTCATTGCGCACCAACACGAAGCCTGGGAGGGCATAGTGCGTGAATAAGAGGGAAGGTTTAAGGAATGTCTCTGAAATGAGTAGGATATCGAGATGAACATTGCTAAAGTTAGCCAGAAGATCGGAGTAGTGTCCAGGAACACTCTGTGCATTTATATGAGCGATGTTGAGGTTTTTAGGGAAAAATGTAAAAAGTTTAGACAAGTTGTCATGCAAGGTGAGTTGCTGGGAAGCATCACTCTTAAAGAATAGTTTAAATTCATCTGAGATGAGGGCGCTTGTCACAATTAATATCTCTCAAAAAAAAACCAGTGGCGTATATACAATGTAGTATTTTTTAATAATGTTGTCAATTTGTGACACATATTTATTCACAAGTTATCGAGAACACTCTGGTTAAGCGGATGAGTTTATAGCATCGGACCCAATATTAATAAACAAAATTGTAACAGTAACCTGTGAAGTGAACTTGGCGCAGGTAGCGCAGCAGGGTGGCGCCACTGGCGGGGCGCATGGCGTCACACAGCCCCGGCTTGCCGTGGCACAGCTCCGCGTGCATGTCCCTGCAACACGCGGCTGTCAACGCTCCGCAGCACGCCTCGCGGGCCGCCACGAGGGCACGTCATGCGTTACCTGATGGCGTGTGCGAAGGCGAGCACTGCGTCGGTGACGAACTGCAACTGCGCTTCGAATTCGATGTTGTCTGCAGACAGCCGCTCAGCGCCCGTGCAAGCGCGCTCGTACTGCACGTTATATGGTGTTCGTGCACTGCCTGGGTACCGACACTTGAACTGGTCCTCCCAAAATTCTGTTAAAAACCATTATAAAATAATAATAACATAACAATGAAAACATCGACTTAAATAAAACATATAGAGGTATACTAGCATAGTCCACAAATATTTACCTACAAACCAGAGATTCCTAGAATTGTTTTCAACAGTAAGGTTCAGAAAATACTCGCGAAAGCCAAGCACAGGGTTTGCTTGCGGTTGGACGCTGATGGTTCCTTCGACGGCGGCCTCATTGCCATCAGAGACGAGAGCGCGCGCGCTCCATCCATCAGAACCGACCCAGCCAAAAGCTTCGGTCGCCCTCATGCGACTCACTGCCGACATTACTCCTGCCACCTCCTGGTCCGAGCCGAACACTATTACACCTAGGAATGTTAAAACGCGTAAGTAAATATTGTAGCAAACGTGCACTGATGGCGTATTGCATGAGTCAACTTTGGCAGTCCGCACCTCTAGCGCGCGGCCGGGACAACAGTCTGGCGACGATAGCGTCGTAGGCGCGCTCATCTGCTTCGCCGGAATCTTTCACCAAGCGTTCTTTGACAGCAATACAAATATCGTTTCGAGCCAAAAGTGTTTCCAGTTCTTCAAACGCCTGAAAATAATACTTAAGAATGACATAATTACAAATATCCATATTTAAGGTATTATTATTGTTATTTTATTTTTGTTTGCTTTGATTTTTTTTGTCTTTACTAATATAATTGTACATGGAATTTATGATCCCGTGAGTGTTGTGTACATCTGTCACTGGTATGCATATCAGAATTTTTATTTTGTATTCAACTGTGTTTTGGCTAGTGTATAATATGTATACTGTTGATGTGCCTTTAATAAATAAATAAATAAATATTTAAGAAAAAATAAAAAAAAGGATTGACAGGCATTAGTCTCACGAATATTTTAATATTTAACAAACTTCTGTCGAAGGGACTCTAATTGTAAATGGAAATCATGAAACCCGACCTTGATCCCGTAATTAGACTCCTCATATATAATCGATACATAGCGCCAACCGAGCCTCTTGACAATCTCCACCATGGCGCGCACCTGGTGCAGGTCGGAGGGGATCGTGCGCGTGAAGTACTCGAAGCGAGCCTTGTTCGACAGCTCCGGAGACGTGGAGAAGAAGGACACCTGCCGCAACAGACCATTCATAGCGCAACATGCGACAATCACAGTGATACGAGTAGTTTTCATGTATTCTCGAAAAAATTAGATCGTTATAAAATAGTAAAATACGATATTCTACTGCCTAAATATGTATTCCAGAAAGTTGATTGCTCTTGTTGGCAATGGAAAGCATTTAAATTAATTTATGAGTAATTATCATTATCAGACACAAAACAGTGGTATGTGGTTCGGTTGGACATTAACTGACAAGTTTATAATTTATAGATAAGAGTTTTTAAATTAAGCAGAACGACTTAACACTATTTTAAAAAAGGTAAAATATTATCCTTATTATTAGGGACAACGAATCACCAAAGTGCACACAAATGTAATATAATATAATGCGCATAACTTAAACACAACTTTAGTTAAATGCAATACATTTATTGAAGTATCTAAAACGAATTGTTTTTCTATGATTTTTAGATCGCAACATGTGACGTCATTAATCATCAAATTACCACAAATAGCGTGCCTATTTTTTAAATACATAAATAAAAAAAATAAGTACATCGTAAAATCAGTGAATGGAAGTAAGATTATTTTTTTAATATTGGACTGTGTTGAAAAGTCGAAGTAATTTATTGTTGATTGAGGAAACCACCAAACTTCTGAAGTTATTGACCAAGATTGTTACTTTTAATAATATCAGCCAGGTGAAGCTGAGCGTCGCTGTAGTAGTTATAATAAATTGACTGCGTGGCTGGCGCGGTGGATACTCTCTGTGTGTCGTGTGTTTATGTTGTTTGTTTATTAACGCACTTACGACACAGGAGACAATCCTAGTGATGTGAACGTTTTATTTAAACAAAGAAAAGATATATATGAGTAGAAATTGCAAATTTTCTGTACATATGAACATAAGACCCCGAGCACAGAGTACCTGCGGTATCTTGAAGAGCCGCAGCAAGTTGGCGACCTGCACCGAGGTGACGCTGCTGGCGGCGCCCACTACTCCGCTGATAACTTTGCGCACGGCAGTCGCGTTGCACTCGTACTCCTCGTCGTCAATGTTGCTTATTGACCCTTACGTACGTGAAAAATTTAAATGATGTATTATGTTCTTTGGTGCTACATAATAAAGCTTTGTGAGGTATTCATCAATGAGTCTGTTTTGCTACCTTTGATAAAATCGAGTGCCATTTCGAGTCCATAGGTGTCGTTATCACAGTCGTCAAGCACGTGCGCGCCAAGGCGCACGTTGGGCGGAGCGAGGCCGGCGCGGGACACGGCGTCCAGTGCAAACAGCATGGCTTCCAGCGCCTGCACTCCGCCCTGCGCCATCACCGGCCCGCACGTCGCGCCCTCTGATCTGCTGTGTACCTGCGCGTCACAACAGTAATTCAAAGCCTACTTGGTCCCATTACTACCAGTTCCGATTTCTATTAGAAGTAAAAGGGTGACAGGTGTGGAGTCAGACTAGGAATACCATCATGAGACCGCCGAGGATGATATCGCCCTCGACGACGGCGGCGTGCTTCACGGGCCACACCGTGTCGTTGTCAGAGACTTTCTTCTTTGGCAAAGGTCGTGTCTCACGTCTGCCATTGTTTGGCGCGCTGGTTGTGGTTTTTGAAGCTCCTTTTGATTTCCGAGCCATCTTTACCTTGACTTTAGAATTTACTATTCCTTGAGAAACAGCCGTAGTCATCAATTGGTCGCTTTCCGTAGGAATAATTTGTGTCGGAATAGTAAAACTTTTTACTGCGAACGCCGTGCTAGACGGGTGGATGCTGTAGTTGGCAGGCATGTGCGTGGCAAGTTCCATCCGACGACTTGGCGCTGGGAGCTCAGACTGTACGCCTTGCAGTGAAGATGCACTTGGTTTAAGTTCGTTATCCTGCTTGCTCTTGTATTTTTTCTTTTTGAATAGTTTTGATAAATCGAAAGTTCCAATTAAGGAATGTGGCTCTCTCTTTTGCCTAAAAAATCTTTTAGGGGTGTAATTTTTTGATAGTATAAAGTATTCTTGTGAGAGAGAGGTTTGTGATCTATATTGAAACAAAGTGGTTATATTAAGCAGTTCGTATTCATAGTTATGAAATGCTATATTCTGTTCGAGGGCCAAGCGAAACTTGTGTTCGTCCTGCAGCTCGTGCAGTAGATGGCGGCCGGTGCCACCGCTCCCTGCCACATTGCCCGCCCTCGCCGGCTGCAGCAGCAGCGCCACTGCGAGCCATCGCAGCATATTCAGGCGCGGCGCGGCTGCCGACGCGGCTCACTCCTCATCCAAGTAATATTCTCAAACATTGATGTCAACTGTCAGGTCAATAAATTGGAATTGAATAACATCTTCCGCCACAGTCACATAACACTATGACACACAACGAATCCTCAGAAGCACACCAAGAAAACTGATAAGTGATAAATAAAAATAAAGTCGCTAGTATTAATATGTATTATTGTAGTTGCTATAAACATAACATTATTTTTTCCGTTAACGTCAATTAGAATTAGTTTGCTACTAATTCTGTATTATCATAGGTAACTGCAAGAGCTTATAAAGTTTGAAAATTTGTTGAATAAGGAAAGATAAATGCCAAAACATTTACAAGACAATGGACAAGTACATTAAGAACGTAGTCGAAGAAATTGACGGGTCTAGTGCACGTGGAGCGTTATTTACAAAACAAGTGAAGTGTCGTGGTCGACGCGCGTCGCGGCGGCAGCAGTACGCGGCGGGAGCGACCGGCGCGCGGCGCGGAGTCTGGCCGCGGAGTGCCGGCGCGGCGGCGGCGGCGGCGGGGCGCGCGGCCCGCCGACACTCCGCCGCCGTCGCATCTTCCTGCTGGACGCCGGTTTAGTACAGTTAGCCAGTACTCACTACAGCCTACAACTATGATCGCTTCTTGCAATATTAATAAATTCATTTTGATACGATGATTTTAGAGATTAATTTACTTTACTCAATAGACGAACATATGTCGTGGTTACCCAGAGGTTTAGGACTCTTGTTACTCATGCATGATGGCGCAGGTTCGAAACCTACCAACAGCAAAGTACCAATATGATTTTCTGAGTGATATGAACTGTCTAAAGTCGTTTAAACACCACTAACCAACGGTGAAGGGAAGCATCGTGAGGAAACCTGTGCTTATAATTTCTAATAATAATTATAACTTTGAATTCGCCAACCAGCATTTAACAAGCGTGGTGATTAATATTTATCATTTAGCAAGCGTGGTGATTAGTACGTCACTGACATTTTGGTGCTTCAATTCTAAGTGACATTATGTTTCCCTTGTTTTCAACGTCCTTGATCGGTATTTCGTCATTTACCCCGAATTTAGGTAAAGATTTTCCAATAGCTACATTAACAGCCTATAAGTTCCCACTGCTTAGCAAAGCCTCTCACACGGAGAAGGTTTGAGCAATCACCACGCTTGCTCATTGTGGGTTACGATGTTTTCCTTCACAGCTTGTCAGTTGTATCTAGCTAATATTACAAAGTAAGTATGTATTTTGTTTTTTTTTTAAAGGGGGAAAATCATCGAATGACTGCTCCCGCCTGGGTGATGCGGGAGGGAGTGTCAGACTCTTACTGACTAAAAACCACCCCGTTCCTTCTCCTGCACGTCGAGTCGGAGCCCCGGTTACCCGTTAGGTTCTCCGCGACTCCGAATCGGCATCGGCCGTATTGGGCCCCATCTGTGGTGGTCTGATGGCTCTTTGAGGCGCGCGCGGAACGCGACGCGCCGTACGCTCGGGTCTGTTCCTGGTTGGACGGGGAGCCACCCATGCTCGCCGTCCGCAGGCCCGCGCTTACGGTGGCCGGAGATCGTCCCGCGATCCCCGACGCCCGGTGTGTCCTTCGCGATGGCTGGGTTGCGAAGTAAGTATGTATACGTTTAATTTCCATTATTATATTATTTTAATCGATTTTCCGTTGCAAATAATGTATGGAAGAATTATTGGATACAAATCAAAATAAAAGTATATAAAAATCTTGCAAGGACTGATAGCTGCAAATGTCGTGATAGAAATGGCCTACTAATGACATTATGTAGTCCATGTGTTAATAAAAATAAAAGATTTATTGTTTGTGTGGATTATTGCTTATCTAAAAAAATAAATAACTAAAGGTAAACAAATTGTAAAGCTTTTTTTTTCTTATAAAACTATGTATAGTATATTCGCACAGATCATTTAACAATGCAAAACTACTTTCATAATGTTTGAATTTAGTGCACACAGTGCTTCGGTTCAATAAGTTGAATTAAACCTTAAACAACTAAAATCTTGCCGTGCCGTGGTAAAAAGCGTAAAAAGCAGACACACATGACACCCACATACATAACATAACATAAATGTCAATAGAACCTCAAATATTGTTTATTCAAATTATTTTAAAAATTTGGGTAATGTTATCATGTCTTGTAACGTGGTAACCCATTACACACGCACACATAAATAAACCTTAATAATTTTGTTAAATGAAATATAGGCCAATTTGGAGAATAAATTTAATAAAAATATACTACTTTAAACAATTACAATAACGGATGACGGAACACGCGTGACGACAAGATAAAACTACCATAGATTATGTACGAGCCATAATGCTCATACAGCAATTTTATATTGAATGCAAACGTATATAATGCATCGAACTAATAACTTTAATTAATCGTACACAAGTCGTAACAAGGTCGCTATCACGTGTTAATGTGTAGCAATCGGAACTAACATAGAATACGTAAAGTGCGATTCAGATAACTAAACGTAGCCTTTAATTGGTACGTAAACCATAGACAACAACAAAATCGATGACGCATTAATATTCCTCATTATCGTCAGCCAGTAGCCGTAGTAGCTGTAGATTGAAGCTACGCTGTAGAATAAAGCTATGATGTAAAATTATTAATCTACGACGTAGAACGAAGCTACGACGTAGAACAAAGCTACGCCGTAGAACAAAGCTACGCCGTAGAACAAAGCTACGCCGTAGAACAAAGCTACGCCGTAGAATAAAGCAACGCCGTAGAACAAAGCTACGCCGTAGAATAAAGCAACGATGTAGAACTAAGATACAACATAGAACGAAGCTACGACGTAGAATTTAGCTACGACGTAGAACAAAGCTACGCCGTAGAACAAAGCTACGCCGTAGAACAAAGCTACACCATAGAATAAAGCTACGATGTAGAATTAAGCTACAATGTAAAACGACGCTACGACGTAGAATGAAGCTACGACGTAGAATTAAGCTACGACGTAGAACGAAGCTACGCCGTAGAACAAAGGTACATCGTAGAATAAAGCTACGATGTAGAATTAAGCTACAACGTAAAACGAAGCTACGATGTAGAATTTAGATACAACGTAGAACGAAGCTAAAGGTGATCCCTCATCGGGAGCATTCACGTGTAATGTTACATTATAGGTTCGACTTTGAGCATTACATTACAATAATACCTCCCTGACTAACGAGCATTTGCGTGTAATGTAACATATAGATCCGATTTTGAGATTTTCATAGCAAGATGCCACACATTGATGTTACAAGTTGTATCAAGATATTAAACATTGTATCATTACTTATTGTAATGCTCATATCTGTAACGTTACATTATACGCGAATACTCCCGGTGAGGGAGCACCTTAAGACGTAGAACGAAGCTACGACGTAGACTGAAGCTACGCCGTAGAATAAACCGAAAACGTAGAACAAAGCTACGACGTAGAACTAAGCTACGACTGAGAATTAAACTCTAAGACTTTATATTCAACCACATCAGTATTGGAACGTATTTTTTTTATAGCATAAGCCGGTACACGATTAGACGGATCACCTGATGGAAAGCAATCGGCGTCGCCCATGGACACCTGGAACACCAGAGGCGTTACAAATGCGTTACCGGCTATTTGGGGATTAGGAGTTTTAGAATCGTTGGGGATTCAGGGTGTTAACGCCGAACCGCGCGCCCGCGCATCGCCAGGCGGTGCAGGCCGGCGCGCCTGCGTGGATTCATTCCGCCACTGGCCGACCCAACGGTCACACGCACTTGTGCAGCATCGCTCGCCTCGAGAGTTACACGTGTATGGTGTATCATAGATTTAGCTTGCCTAATTAAAGTGATTTATCTCTCCATACACCGTGTCATCATTTTCAACAACCCTCGTCAACACAGGGATTGGGGATATTGGGGAAGGGGAGGGTAATTGGGCCTCCGGTAATATAAAAAATTTCCATTTACGCAGAATGTATGTATTTTTAATATTGTATAGTACTCACACCATATTAATTTATTTATTTCAAATGTTAAACGTGAGGACTTGTTATTAACTCACTGTTACCTACGCCTATTGTTATTTTTATCCATTTTTATATGCTGTAAGTCCTCCATGAATTATAAATAAATAAATAAATAAAAAATGCTCACATTTGAAGGAGCACAGCTTTATAATAAAATACCTTCACGCATAAGAAACCTGCACTCATTCAACGCATTCAAAACTCAGCTTTACAAATATTTACTTCTTAATCAAATACCCGAAAAATGAATGTGTTGGATGGGACTTGTTTATTGTCATGTTTTGTCCAGATGTTGTCGAGCCTAACCTTACCTACCTATGTTGTTATGTTCTCAAGTAAGTGGCATGTATGTTATTATTGAGAATAAAGATTCTTTAAACCTAACAAGTATCTGAGATGGCCGCCATTACAAAATGGAGTATAACCTAGTTTTTATCAATCCCATCAATATGGGTATCAATTGAAAGGGCTTGACAAGTACAATACAATGTATGATACAAATTTGAAATCTAAGATGGCTTTTTTTTTTTTAAGGGGGGAAATTCATCGAATGACTGCTCCCGCCTGGGTGAGGCGGGAGGGAGTGTCAGACTCTTACTGACTAAAAATCACCCCGTTCCTTCTCCTGCACGTAGAGCCGGAGCCCCGGTAACCTGTTAGGTTCTCCGCGACAAACTGAGGGCTTACTAGCGGAATTAGAAATATTTGTGGGGGTAAAGTCAGTGGCCGGAGATCGTCCCGCAATTCCCGACGCCCGGAGTGTCCTTCGCGACGGCTGGGTTGTGAGGAGGCACCACTTCGCTGCCTTATGCGCCATAATACCTATTTAATGTTGTTATTCTCAGTTATTTAACCGACAAATGTTCAATGTAAACTACATTAATTGTTTGGAGGAACTCATTTATTATAGTATACATCAAAAATAATAATACTGCGACTTAACTTTCTAAACACGTAGCTTTTTCGTAATATTTTCCATTGCTAGGTCAATCGTTATATTCAAAAGGAATGGGCGGCGGCTGCACGCGGCCGGCGGCGGGCGAGCCGCAGAGTATGGCGTCGGTCGGCAACAGGCGCGCGTCGTCCGTGTGGTCGTGCTGCGTCAGGTGGAACTTGTGGTCGCGCGCCGGCGCCGCGCGCACCAACACCGTCGCGCGACACCACGCCGCGCGCGCCAGCTCCTGCCCCAGCGCCAGGCACGCAGCTTCCGGGACCTGCGGCACCTTTCCGGCTTGCGGGACATTCGCAGCCTGCCCAGTGTGCCTGACGTGTCCGAGGTGCCCAGTCGGCCCAGTCTGCCCGACCAGTGCGGTCTGCGCGTCGCGCGCTGTTAAAGCCTGCCCCGCCCCGCAGCACACGAACACGTGCGCGCATCCCTCAGAGGGAGCTGCTCGCCACCTGTGTCATATTTAATTGATCGAGAACTGGTAGAACGAAAGTAAACGAAGTAAACATGGTTATATTAACATACGCACTTGTATAAATATAATATCACTATTTTAATCGTCACAAAATAAGAAGAAGAAAAGGTTTTATTACATGGCCGTATATTGCAGGTAGACGTTAGCGCAACATCCAGGGGCTATCCTCAAAAATGGTGGCCAAATCTTAAACTCGCTGCCACCCACCCAATGGGTTGCAATATCGAGTGTCACGGTCGCTGGAAAGTAAATTTAGAACAAAATATTACACATTTTTATTTTATGTTCTAAAATTTATTGGGGCCACGATTACTGTGATGTCTAGAAGGGGACATAGTACGTATGTAGTAGAAGGTAGAAGCTGCGAGCTTACAGCTGGTGTGAGATACACTAAAGTACATCTTCCTGGTATCTCCGTCGGCGACCACGCCGAAGTCGAGGACGGCAGGCTGCACGCAAAGTATCGGGAACTCCAGGTCCAGTACCAGTTGGACCGTCTAAGAAATGGAACAGATTTAAAGAGTTTCACCGTACTCAATAGCGAACCATCAGCGCGACATATAAAAATAGGAGGATGATACTTTTAGGATGTTGTCATCGTCGAAGATATGCAGCGGAGTAGTAGTGAGGCTGCGCGGCGGGTAGACGGGGGCCTGGCAGGGCCCGGCCGAGGCCGCGGCCGCCGCGGGCCACACGTGGGCCGTGCTCACCGCCACCTCCACACACATCTGTGTAGTGACATTTCACGTTGTAACGCTAGGTTTACGCCAAAATCAAGAATATGATTTTGACTAAGTAGTAAGTACTGATACTAATGACACTGCGTGTGATAGATTATTCAAGTATTTTATCAAAATATACAAAAGAAATAACCATTCGTGTGTAATTACATAATAATTTTAAGTACTTAATAATTTTGGAAATACCTACCTACTGTAAGATTATTGTAATTTTTGTAAACTACTACTTTTGCATCAATTTAGGTAATGAATAATGTAGGTACTTTCTGTGCTTATTTATGTTTCAATATTAGAATTAATTACGTTGTAATTTAATAACGTTATTAGTATATCATAACAATTTAAAATACTCTCTTTTAAAATAAAAATCATGGAGGTAAGTGATTGACTAGTCTACCCACTAGTATAAAAGACATGTGTCGGTCGGGTGGGGATTCATTGTATGTACCGCCGCCGACCTGAACGGAGCTCCGAGCCTAATCAAGTTAAGTAATTAAGTAATAATAATATATTATGTTCTAAAAATGTAATATGTTGTATGTTTAAATATGTGTTGGTGTTCACTTATTAAAAATGTGTTAAAATTAAGTGTTTATTTGTAATGTTGTAATAATGAGGTGTTTATTTAATTGAAATAACAGTTAGAATAAACTATTATGAAATGAAGTTTAGTATTTTAAATCTAAGTACCTATTTACAACTTTATTCCTTTTCTCATAATTACATCAATATAATAACATGGATTTGATTTAATCCATTGGTAAATTTTGAAAATGGAATAATTCTAAATTAAATTTAATATTGATTGATTCTACGGTAAGTATTTTGAGTCCATGGGTATGTATGTGTATGGTGTACATAGACTTACAACTTATCAGATGCATAGAATTTGAATACCAATAAACGCCCTTAGTTTTATATTTTTTTTATTTTACTAAGAGACAAAATGCTAACACGTGCGTTTAGGTTCAGGTGCCTGGTCTGGTATGTACGGAAATAAAATACAAGTAGGTAAGTATGTGTGTCGACATGAATTCGACCTTTTCATAATTAGTTGTAATGTCCACGAGACGCGTCATTTCAAGAATGCATACAATCTACAAATGACAATAGGCGGCCTAAAAATGACTAAATACTTGCATCTTATTAACCGACTTCAAAAAAAGGAGGTTCTCAATTCGACCATGTATACATATGCTTTTTTATATTTGTTCGCCAATATCTCCGTTATTTATGAACCGATTTTGATAATTCTTTTTTTGTTGGAAAAGAGAAAGACCCAGAATGGTCCCATGATAAGGAAATCAAGACTTAATGATGGAAGACCAGGGAAACCGAGGTGATCTTTTAAAAATTATAGAGCGACAAGTCCACTTGTTATTTTTTTCATTAAGTATTTAAAATGACTACAATTTGATAAAGGTCTGGAGTCGTTCGCCAGTCGAGGGAACCTCAAAGGTTTGTGTTTGGGTTTGATTAATTTGTACTGATGAGGGCTTTACACCCAGCTAGGATGTAATTGTCAATAAGGGTCTGATGCATCCATGTGGGTTGTGTATAATATGATATATCAAAGTACCAAATAAACTAAAAATAATAAAATTAAAAAAAAAACTGCGTTTAAAAAACCGACTTCAAAAACTAAAGTCAAAGGAAAAAGTTATTTTAAGCTATAAAGCTTACACACCCACTGATAGGTTACAAGTCTGTGCCACAAACCCGTAACAAAATATAAAGCAGTTAATGCTCACAGCTGGTATAATACACAATCAAATTGTAAACAGCTTAATAATGTTTGGTATCTATTAAGGTTTTAATAAATAATTTTGTTTAAAACTTGTGGCAGCGACTTTTAACCTATCAGGGGGTTTGTAAGCTGTAAGTACGTATGACCAATAATAGATACTTTTTCCTTTTTAGTTTTTACTTTTACATTACATCAATAGCTTATTGGCCATAAGCAGTGCTGACCATAGGCCCCTTTTAGCACGGAGAAGATTTGCGCATTAATTACCGCGCTTGCTAACTGAGGTTTCATCACGTGTGTTCCTCCACCGTGTGTCACTAGTGTCTAAATAAGTTTGACCTGTGTGTAGTGTGTATGTTTCGTCACGTGGGTTCCTCCACCGTGTGTCACTAGTGTCTAAATAAGTTTGACCTGTGTGTAGTGTGTATGTTTCGTCACGTGGGTTCCTCCACCGTGTGTCACTAGTGTCTAAATAAGTTTGACCTGTGTGTAGTGTGTATGTTTCGTCACGTGTGTTCCTCCACCGTGTGTCACTAGTGTCTAAATAAGTTTGACCTGTGTGTAGTGTGTATGTTTCGTCACGTGTGTTCCTCCACCGTGTGTCACTAGTGTCTAAATAAGTTTGACCTGTGTGTAGTGTGTATGTTTCGTCACGTGTGTTCCTCCACCGTGTGTCACTAGTGTCTAAATAAGTTTGACCTGTGTGTAGTGTGTATGTTTCGTCACGTGGGTTCCTCCACCGTGTGTCACTAGTGTCTAAATAAGTTTGACCTGTGTGTAGTGTGTATGTTTCGTCACGTGGGTTCCTCCACCGTGTGTCACTAGTGTCTAAATAAGTTTGACCTGTGTGTAGTGTGTATGTTTCGTCACGTGTGTTCCTCCACCGTGTGTCACTAGTGTCTAAATAAGTTTGACCTGTGTGTAGTGTGTATGTTTCGTCACGTGTGTTCCTCCACCGTGTGTCACTAGTGTCTAAATAAGTTTGACTTGTATATATGTAGTATGTATGCTTGTGCGCGATTATCTCGTGATTGGCTGAACCAATTTTGGTACGGTTTTCCTGCATTAACAAACAGAGTTTATTGACAAAGTAATGTATTAAGTCTATGTCTGTTAATGTATTAAAGAAAAGGCTTTAGGTGACTGGTTCATATTTGACTCGAAGGACCAAAAAGATGTACGGTGTATGATGGAGTTCACGACACTAACACATAACACACACACAACTCAAAATTGATTGATCGATAGTACCCATTCGTAAGGCATCGCGGTCACGTAAAGTGCCTACAAAGTGCCAACGAATTATTGTATGTCGCTTGTTCTGTATAAATGTAATGAAAAACAATACGATGTAAATACAATGTGTTTCCAGATATAAATAGGTGTAGTCAGATACTTAACTGACTACCTTCCTGGGCCATTAGCCAAACGCCACTTTAGCGCTTGTCTACAGAAAGAGTAGAAATCAAAATGTATAGGCATGACACTGACAAGTGTCAAAATTTACGTCAATTCCATATAACTTGGTTTTCTATTCTACATGTAGACAAGCGCCAAATAGCATTTGGCTACAGCTGCTGAGGTTTTAACAGAAACAGTTTAATTGTACAGCAGTCTAATAATGAAGTTAAGCGTGGCACCTCCACACACGAGGTGGGCTCGAGGTGCAGTGGCACGGAGTGGTGGCGCGAGGACTCGCGCGGCGCGCAGCCGCAGCCCGCGCCGCACGGCCCGCGGCTGAGCGCGCGCTGCGGCAGCTCGTCCGGCGCGGCCACCGTGTGCTCGCGCACCACGTGCCACGGCGCCGCCGTCTCCACGCCCAGCTCCAGCACGCCGCTGCCCACGTTCATCACGTGGAAGCGCTTGCGGACCCTGAGGACGCCGCGACTCGTTCATACTATACCATATTACACTACAATAGTAGTAAATAAGCCTTTGAAATCCATAAAAGATACGGCAAATTTACGAGCTATGAATCTTTTGTAATAAGGATGTCTTGACATACTTTTTTGGCCTGATTCCAAAATCCACTAAATATGTACATTTATTCAAGATAATCTACACAATCGACGAAGCTGTCTTTATTTTATATACTATATCAATGATGTACCTGAAAGTAAACGGTAAATATAATATCGATATACCGAAAGGACACAGATTTCATCAAACGTAGATGTAGTCCAGGGGTTTGAAAATTTCTTTACCAACATTCCTATCAAAACAACTGAACATTTAAAGTCATCACCAAACCTCTCTGTAACTTTGCTTAAGAACAACATAGAATCATGTCAACACGACTTTAGTTTTCGATATACGAATCCTCTAGAAAATAAACGTTTTAAACTGTCAAACACCAAGCGGTCACCGGTGACCGCAACCTATTGTTCTATAATTGTGTCTGCAAAACCGGTACTCGACGAGTTAAAGAAATCAAGACCATATCAACAGAATATCTTTGGGGATTGTCGATAAAAGTTTGCAAGTCACTGATTCAAACTGCCAGTGTCTGTTTTGCCGGTTCTCAGCAAAGTCTTTGAAAAGTTGATACTGTCTCGGATGCTTCATCATTTAATAAATATTCTATATAGTGTCACTTTGATTAAGGATTTTGGCGCTTGTGAGGAAGCCCAGGATGCTATTAGTATATTTTGTGATCTCTCAAAAGCATTTCATTGCGTTGACCAATAGACACTTTTGCTGAAATTAGATCACTACGGGATAAGCAACTCTGCGCTCCATCTTATGAAATCTTATTTAGAAGAAAGACAGAGGTTCATGTTAACGGTATCAACTCGCAGGGCTGTGGGATGAATATGGGCGTTCCTCAAGGTTCAATATTGGGTTCCTTTCTCTTTTTAGTCTATATAAATGATTTTTATTAAAAAATGAACCAAGAATGGCGCTTTTGTAGAAGATACATCATTAATTTTTAAAATAGATCGACTCACAAATAATCTTGACGACGTAAACAGCTCCATTCTTCGAGTGCATAATTGGTTCACCACTAATAATCTAGTACTTAATGAGAAAAAAACCAAATGTATTAAATTCAGTTAACCAAATGTGCGTAGTAACGTTTGTGATATTGTTTTGAACGGTCAAAAGTTAGAATTTGTCGACGAGAC